ATAAACGTACTGCATTCATTATATTTATTTACATAAAAAAAAAAAAAAAAAAGTTTTTAAATGTTGATTTTTGTATTTATTTTATTATTATTATTAAAAAAAGAAAAAGAAAAAGAAAAAAACTTTTTTTCCATTAAAATATATTCAAAAAAAATGGCGACGTTAAATATATAATAAGGATTGGGGAGGGGGAGGTAAAAGAAGAAGAAAATAATTTTTTTTTGATTGTGTATTTATTCGTTGCATAATATTATTTACTAAATAATAATGATGATAAACGTGGGGAAAAAAAAAGAATATAGCATTATGATGATGATGATGATGATGAGTAATAATAAAAAATTTTTGTGTATACACAAACACACTGTTAAGCATTTATTCCTTTATAATTTAATCGAAAAAATGATTCATTCATTCATTATTTATTATTTTTATTTTTTTTTTATAAATATCGGCAAAAGAAATTTTTTTTTTTCAAATTTTGTCGATAAATTATTTATTATTCCTACAAAATTTTTATAATAATAATAATAATAAAGAAAAAAAAAAAATTAAGGAAAAAAGAAAATAAAAAAAAAATTAAGCATTGTAATGATTAAATGTTTTCTTTCTTTTTTTTTTGTTATTTATATTATTATTTACAATAAAAACAAAGTGTGTGTGTGCGTGGGTGGGCGTGTGCGTTTTTTTATACGGTTTGACGATAGATTGAAAAATAATATATATATAAAAAAACTACGAAACGTTTGTAAAAAATATAAAAAAAAAATGAAAAAAATCGCGTGAGTTTCCGTGCTTTACTCGTGGGTGGCAAACAATAAATAAAAATTGCTTTTATTTATTATTATTATTATTATTATTATTATTATTATTACTTTTTTTAATTAACGTGTTATAAAAATTATATTATGCATACGTAATATATATATCGACGGTTATTATTATTATTATTATAAATCGATACTTTTAAATTTACGCGATGATATGAAATGATTTGATTATTATTATTATTATTATTATTATCATCAAAATTAGTCAACCA